AGTCTGGGGTCTTAGGGAGGGGTTGGGGTGGAATGAAGACTTCTGGGTAATTGGAACTCTGCAGTATACTCTACAGCAATAAGGCCAAAGTGACCCCCAGTTGGAGATAGAGGTAAATGCAGACACACACAAAAAAAACCGCAAATGAACTAATTTAGGCAAACCAAGCTATACGACTGCATGCCGTTTTTTCGTGTTCTTAGCTCAGTGGAGAGCCTTAATTTGCACATCACACATTATCTTTGTGCTCAGATGCCGGCTCCCCAGTCTGACAGCGAATGCATCGCCATAGCGATGCTGGGGGGGGGTGGGGGGAGCTGTCAGCCCGCCCCTTTGATCCCTCTGTGTTCTGAGGGGTGGAGCCATCATCAGTGGGGCTCCCCAGTCTGGCAGTGAAAGTATCGCCATAGCGATGCCAAAGGGGGGGGGGGGGGGGGGGGGGGGGGGGGGGGCTTGGTGCCTGCTCACATGTCAAACAAGGAGGCTCTGACACCTCAAATAGATCCTCCCTGCAAATCCTCTCTCCTCCCTTCATTCTACTGACCTGATTCAGATTTACCTTCTTTACTGACATTTTAGAAGCATTTTCAGCATGACTTTTTTGGAGTAATACCAGTTAAACACTAAATTCTAAAGAATTTCCCCATTGTGGGATTAATAAAGTCAATCTAATCTAATCTAAATACTCAAAGGTATAACAGCAACGCCTTACCACAGTTTTTGCGCTATGAGTCCACGTCCCTAACTGCTACACTTGCAGCTTCCCTCTCTTTTTCTGCTATCCTAAAAAAGCATCTTGCATAACAGACGCTGCGTACAGAAGGGCGAGCTGAGCTTTCTGTTATTTGCTGGCTCGGGAGACTTTTAAACGAAAAAACACCCCCATATTTCTACACCCCGCCCAGTTTCTCTCGACATCTTTGCTGAAGAAGGGTTCAACGGCAGATCGCAGCCTTGGATTTCAACGAACTTGGATTTAAAACTGGATTTAAATCGTCACTACCTTAATCAGCAGCCCACCTGTCGCGTTACTTAATAACTGGTACTCCGGGGCCCCTTTGCTGTGTAATTGCCTCCATACAGCATGAAGCTCATGCTAAATCCCTTTCTGGGAGAGCCAGTGGGATTTGCTTTCACCAGTGACTTTGATGTGGAAAACACGGCGGACGGCAGCCACGTGCTCACGCTCCCACAGGCTGCTAATCTGTTCTGACACACAGCTGCACCGTTGCGATGTAACGGGAACAACAAGATGCAGGAAAAATAGTAACGTGCCTCCGGCGTCTCACTGCGTGATCCCAAGGAGCATTCTCTGCCGTCTTCGTCGCTGGGATCTAGTGCCCCCTTGTGGAGAGGAGGTACTTTGGGACCATACTATCAAGGCTTAAAGAGAAGCGATGTTTAAGAGCCACATCCAAGTGATTTACACATTTTGAGTGTGAACACTGCATCATACACGGATACATCATTTTATCACACTAAACAGCAGATAGGGGCGTGCAGCATATTGTGTAAAGTGTTGTAAAAGGGGGCCTGTTTATCGTTGTTTACAGCCACAGACTGGTCTTATTTACCACAATAAACACCACCGAAGACTGCAGTCACTTCTAAAATTAACACAAAGTGAAATCAGTACTACTGAATACCTTTATTTAGCCAGGTAATTATATTAAGATTGTGGCAAGTGTCTTGTTTCATCCCATTTAATTATATATATAACCGCTCTGAAATGAATGCTGAATGCCATTATTCTATCCATCCATTTTCTGTAATGACTTAACCAGTACAGGGTCATGGAAATCCTGTAGCCTGTTGCTAGACGGACAGGGCAGGAGGCAGGACACACCCTGGATGATAACGGTGCTCTAAAAATATCGTCTTCATTACCCATTGCCCATTGCAATGTCACGATATGGATTGCACCCCCCAATCACCAGGGCAAATTTGATCCCCCCCGATGTAAAATTCCTTCCAAGTCCATTGCAGGTAGGCCAGGGCACAAGCACCCTGAATGAGATGCTGGGCAATATACACACAAAACCATGAACTATAAATTCTGTACATCTTTGAAATGTCAAAGGAACCCCCTCCCCCCAAACAGGAAAAGCAGGAGGTTTGAGGTGCCACCCACATTTACAACAGTCGGGTAAATTAAGCTGTGACCCCACAATATTTTTGTTTATCTTTAAAAGGTAACGAAGGAGACCCTGCAGACTGTTTTCTGGATGACAAACATCACTGAGTGCTTTGCGGCTTTTCCTACTCGCCTTTTTCTGGAGCCCTTTAACTGTCTTTAAATAGAACCTGCACTTCATCCTGGAGCTCTCTTCTGTCCAGACTTGGAAATCATAAAATTAAAAATTCAGCCCACTGCCGTATTGCGGGTGGCCCAAAGCTCTAGGCCAATCAGAAGCTCGGAGACCGGCCTGCCACTTCGTGTTTTATTCAACGCAACTCCATACTGGGAAAGGCTGACGCATTCTGACAGCGACGCAATCGGTGCAGTTTGAGGAGAGATGCACAACCCTGGCAAATTAACCCCCCCCCACCCCCACCCCCACCCTGAGGGCCCAGCGTGAAAGGGGAACACCTCCATTCGCAGCATGTTAATCTTCACGTTACAGGCTTGCGGCCTGTCACTCTGACGTTCTGCACATATACAGGGTCAGATCATGGGTGTCTGGGATAAGATGCTTCTGATTAAATGCATTCACACCAGAGCGTGCCAGTCACTGGTTTCCTGAGAAAAACCACAGCGGTAATTGTAACAGATGTGTTAGTCTCCATGAACCATTTCATTTCATTTCACTCCCTAGGCGACAGGTGCTGTGCTTGTTCAGTCATCAGGAAAATGTTGCACATCTGAGTCCTAAGCAGGCATACATGTTTTTAGAAAAAAAAAACATCAAAGTGCTGCATTAGTTGGGAAACTGTAAAATTGCAACAAAATGTAACTTTGTTTCAGTACAGCAAAGGACATCAAAATGAGTTTGTAGAAGTAATAGTAACAAAAACAGTGGTGATAAATATGGGTCCTTTATTTGCACAAGTAGGTCGGAACTCTTCTCGTCTGGCCCATCTTGTTCTCTGCAGCTTTGGGGCCGCAGCCAGCATGCAGCCCCCATGGAACTGGGGGGCCACAAACATGTGACAGTGTTGCCAAGGGGGGGTTTAAACTGGCAAGCCTCCGATGACAGGGAAAGACACTTACCCCCCTAAGCCACTCACCACCCACTCAAGCTCATGCCGGACAAATTTACAAAGGCTAACTTTTCTCAGAACGGTCTTAGAGAGGCCCCAAGCCCGGTCTTACAGAGGCCCCGAGCCCGGTCTTACAGAGGCCATGAGCCCGGTCTTACAGAGGCCATGAGCCCGGTCTTAGAGAGGCCCCGAGCCCGGTCTTAGAGAGGCCCCGAGCCCGGTCTTACAGAGGCCATGAGCCCGGTCTTACAGAGGCCATGAGCCCGGTCTTAGAGAGGCCCCGAGCCCGGTCTTAGAGAGGCCCCGAGCCCGGTCTTAGAGAGGCCCCGAGCCCAGTCTTAGAGAGGCCCCAAGCCCATTACCTTCTCACATTTAATTCCATGCTTTCAGGGAAATGGTTTTTTCCTTATTAGCTGTACTTTGGCCAGAAAGGAAACATTTCTTAAGTCATATAGTATCTTTGTTTATTTAATGCCTCATAAACCCAGCTCCGAAGCTTGGCTTACCTGCATGTCGTACCAGAAATGACAAAATCTGGGGAAAAAAAGTCCTCATATTACTATTTGCTTACTGGATTATAAATGTTTGTGTGGAATTTGTGCATCCCTCTGCATTTTCCTAGGTCTTCTTGGTGCATAGATCTGCTTTTGCCTCCTTATTGCACAGAGTACATATGTAATCACCCCCATGCATTGGATAAACTGTTCTTGGGAAAGTGAATCTAGGCAAAGGCTGCCCTCTTGTGGCATGAATGAACATTGACATAATCCTAATGTACGTTTCGTTAATAAGCAGCCATTAAGAACCATAGGTATGTTATATGTGCAACGATTTTTTATGCGAATAATCGGAAAAGCGATCTAACAATCCTGTTATGCATGTTGGAATATTTACAAAATATTCCTCATTTCAGCCCACAGATTTTTTTCTGTTTTTATTCAAATATTCAAATTGGAAAAAACCACTAACAAAAAGCACTTCTAATAAATAATAAATGTTCATTTACATCAGAAAAAAAAGCAGTCGTGAGGTTGCATTAGTTTCAAACAAATATGCATTTACTTTCAGACACCAGGAAAAAATGTGGAAATACAAGAAAATACAACTGGGGATAGATCTCCACAAAACACAATTCAGGATTTTTTTATAATCTCAAATACGAACAATGTATCATTACACCTATTTACATTCTTCGGTATGCGACACCATCCTCTGGGTATAGTTCAGACTTTTACAGTATTTATTGCTTGACCTCAGTGTTTGCATAACTGTATGAACAACTTTCAGCATTATTTTCCCCAGTCAACATTTCTGCAACACAGCTGGTGACAATGAAACAAAAGGCAGTGTGGTTAAGCTTTGGTTCTATGGGACTAACCCAGGACTGACCAACAACTGGACATCCTGGGCTAGAACGATATATAGGTGCTGTTGTATAGTGCAGGGAAATCCAAACAGGTGCTCGCACAGCTGTGGAAATTGAGACCACTCTATGTTCTTAAAAATCTGCATTTTCAAACCCTGGTTTGATCGTGGTTCAAAAAAAAAAAAAAACGAGCAAGAGACACCGGGAACAACCAGAAACCAGCCAGACAGAGTGCGACATTCTAATGCCAGAGATGACTTAACTTATCTGACAGTTTCACATGAATAATAGGATGACATCAAGTGACCTTCAAAAGGAATGGTAAACATTAAGTGCAGGTGTGAAGTGCACTGCTAGGACAGTTCATATCAGGCTCCTAGAAGCAGGACTGAAGACCCATAAAGCAAGGAAGCAGCCCTTCATTAATGAGAAACAGGGATGAGCCTGGCTGGAGGTTGCAAAAAAAAAAAAACATCTTTTACACATTTGCATACAAATAAATTGAGAAATGAGTGAAACTGAAAATTATGCTGTGGTCTCAATTTTTTTCCAGAGCCGTATGGAGGGGAAAATCCTTTAAACTATTAGATAAATGGCTTATAAATATCAAAATCGAATATTGCAAAGACGAGTTTGGAAAATAATCCAATTCAGTTGCTTCGTTGCACATTCTTGTGAGAAACACTTTGTCTGGGCAACATTCTTCTAGTGTAAATCTGTACAATGTCATCCATTTCATAAAGGTGCTCGGTGCAGCTTTCAAACATGCTAGGCTGCACACTGACCTGGGATCAGTGCTGGTGAGTGAAGTACTTACTCCTAGCAGATGATAGGCTTTAACTGCTGCTGTACATTGGTCCCTGTTTAAGATGCCCCAGCCCAGTACGGAGAGGGCTTACATTCAAGCACAGCAAAGAGGGAATGTGCCCTCTATTTCTGCTGGTGATTTTGAGCTGAACTGATTCACAACACTAACATTTTACGACGTTAAACATTAAAACTTCCTTATTTTAACAACGTAATTATTGCACTGACTTTTCCAGGGGAGTGGAGGGGGTTAAAATCAGTAACTTTGCAGAGGATTCGTACCGGGTGTGGACAAAAAAATTTAAATAAAAATCCAGTCGGATGACCGTCATAAGGCTGCTCACTAAGACAACTACTCGGATGTGTAACATAGGAGTATCTCATGATACTGTAAAGGGCTTCCACCGTAAAACGGAACAGCAACTGAAACCAGTCTTCTGGATATTTTTCTGACTAATATCTGAATGGAGACACTACAGCAAATAGATAGGTCTAACAAAAATGTAAAATTTTAAAAAACTAAGTAGTATTCAAATTCATAAAACTACCACGGTCAAACAGCATCTTATATAAAAAAAGAATATTTACATAACTTTCTTAGAATAAAAACAGCCTTTTGAAGATTAAAAGTTGTGCAATAAATACAATCAGACTACAATAAATACCTCTCAGTAACTCTGGATTTCTATTAAGGTAAACAAAAAAATACTGAAAAAATACTTGGGCTGTGACAAATGCTGTTACTGAAAAGATCGCCCCCTAGGGGACGACCCCTCCACTAACTTGCACAAGCACCCCCACTGCATTTATATCTGATTGTGAGAGATTGACCTCGGGTATCCAGCACTGCTCTTCAATCATCAAAGGTTGGTTCATCTCATATTGAAGGAAGCAGAAAAGCAGGAGGTCCGAATTTGGAGCAAAACCCAGGAAAAAAACAATGCAGATTACATTTAAAAATCTTAATGTGCCAACTGTGCTTATTGCGATTCTGCAGACGCGCAGAGAGGACATCCACACCATAAAAAGTAAAGGAAAATAAAATCCAAGACATACAGCAATTGAACGAAACTCGTCCTCAGATACTTTCACCCTTTAAATAACCCCCCATAAAAGCCCACATTTTCACAATGGTCCTGATCACATCATTTTCACCTACACCCCCAATACGAAGAATTGCCCATCCTCAGAAACCAGAGACACTCATTTTTTATGAGTCTGTCAGTAGTTGGAATCTGCCGTCTCGTATGACTGTGTGTTGGGGGGGATGTGTTGGGATTTGGGTGGGGGGGGGTCTCAGAGCTCGGAATCAGCACCGGCACCCAGGCTGTTGAGCTCCTCAGCAGGTGGCTTCTCTGAGCGGAAGCCCGCTGCGATCTCGTCGAATGTCCGCCCCTTGGTCTCAGGTACCTTGAAGTAGGTGAATCCGAAGAAGAAGAGCAGGAACACGATGAAAATGATGAAGACATAGGGGCCGCACAGTTGCTGTGGGGAGGGAGGAGAAGGAAGAGATGACTGAGACACAGATCTTATGAAACAAGCTTAGTAGAGATCACAGCACATCTGAAGGACGTTTCATATCCCGATAGCTGCCAGTAGCATATTCATGCATGCAGAAAGTCTAATCCCATTTCCTTAGGCATGACCTCAATCCTCTAAGAGCATATACCTTAACATCACTATAAACAAGTGTCCAGTTTAAATGGATCCTTTCCCAGTTTCCATGCACTCTTTCAGCCACAGGGGACATAGACCATACGGGCAAAAATGCCGGAACACCCGTAGTAATTACAGGAATTGGCCACACAACACACATCCATCGCTGACATACAGGTGTTTAATTAAGCACACAGCCATGCGATCTGCAGCAATCAATGGCAGCAGAATGGGGGGGGGGGGGGAGGTCATACAGAAGGTTAATCGTGGACACCACTGGACACCTTTCCAATAAGTCGGTTCCCCACGTTCCTGTCCTGCTAGAGCTGCAACATGGATTTGGAGTTGAACCAGTAGGGTGCCCTTAATGGCCAGTAAAGATACTGACCTGGACGTACTGGAAGCCCATTCCCACTATGAAGTTGGCCGTCCAGTTGGAGAAACCGGCAACAGCCATGGCAGATGGGCGGGGGCCCTGGCTGAAGAGCTCGGCCACGATGAACCAGGGGATGGGCCCGGGTCCGATCTCGAAGAAGGCCACGAAGCAGAAGATGGCTATGATGCTGATGTAAGACATCCATTCGAGCTGCTCCTGTGGCGAGGAAATGGAGCACATACAGAAATAAGGAACCACAAAGAACCTAAACGGAGAACGGCCGTTCAAAAGTAGGTACTTATAAGCAACATAAAGGAGTGCGGACATGGGAATTCTCCTTATAGGAGCAGAACAAGCACTGATCATTTAATGAGCGACGTACCAGTAGATTCAGAGCAATGGTCATCAGGAGAGCAGAACCAGCCATCCCCAGCAGGCCGACCAGGTGGAGGGACCTACGTCCAGCACGCTCCACGATGAACAACTGGGTATCGGGGAGAGAGCATTAGGGTGCGGAAATGGCCGGTGAACGGGAGCACAGAGACACTTCGCATTTACATTCTGTTACTCAGCTGACATCTTAACCCGAAGCCATGTACATAGATTTAGGTGGATATTTTACTGAAACAATTCAGGGCTACGTAGTGCCAGGAAAAAAACACACACAAACACACACACATACAATCACAAACACACACAAACACACACACATACAATCACAAACACACTACAAGCCATCCTGAAACTACCCTTGAGTTTGTGAATGAAAGCTTGTCTAAAGAGATCCATCTTAATGGTGACACATTAATGAGAAGCTCATATAAACCTCTGGTGGCTCTCAAAGTTACAAAAATATAAACTCTGATGAGAGCTGGAGAACAGGTAGCGCCACCCGGGGCATCCTTGGACATATCAAGCATGCCAACGTAAAGCAACCAGAAATCTTGGTTTGGTGGAACTTACTGAAACAACAGTGAAGGCTGTGTTGACCACCCCAGCTCCAATGGTGGCGTAGACGGGTTGAGAGACCCCCGCCCTTTTGAAAATGTCAGTGGAATAGTAGAAGACCTGAAACAGAAAGACAAAGGAGGGTTATGAACAGTGGTGGCACAAAATTATTTTCAGGGCAGGTACACAGGGGGCAACAGTAAAATGGAGGGGGGGGGGGGTTCTACGCAGGAAAAATTAAGGCTACAAACGATAAATATTCATGCAAATCTGGGAACAACTAAACCCAGTTGGCAAAACTACGTTCCACGTTCCATGATCAACATCAGTCAGGCAACAGATGCCTTGTTACAGCCATAAATAAAACGCTGTTGAGAGCGTTACGCGCTTTAACTTGTGTTTCAGGTGTGCTGGGGTAACAGCATGGCACTTACAGCATTGATCCCCGAGAGCTGCTGGGAGAGATGCAGCATGACTGCCACCAGCAGCGGCTGGCGGTACTGCTGTGACAGGAGCAGCTCTTTCAGCGTCACCTTCTTCTCGCTCATCATCTGCCGGCTCTCCTCCTTCATTTCCAGCATGTCGACAGTCACGTCGCTGGTGCCTCGCAGCTTAATCAGAACTGGAGTAATAGAAGTGAGATGACCATCGTGAGGAGGTCATAACAAGCCCAAGAACCACATTTAATTCCCCTCCTACTAGTTGTTATATACAAACACCACTTAAACTGCATGCTTAAAATTCCATATAAATTGTATTGGATTTATTTAATGAGACTCAGCAGTGGCCAGGATTTCGCTAATCCACTAACCACTAAGCTGTATTTCCCGCTTAGTTGCATAACTTGTTGGCTTATGCTAATGTTTTTCCGGTTTATTGGTTTAGCGTTATCAAATTAAACTTCGCAGTTAGCAGATCGGCAGTTATCGCGGCTAACCTTTCGGTTAGCCGAATCCCACCACTGACGAGACCCGACGCGCGTCAGAAACACGCGGGCCTGACACGCGCGTCAGAAACACGCGGGCCTGACACGCGCGTCAGAAACACGCGGGCCTGACACGCG